TATATATATATATTTGTGCTGTCCTTGTACTAGCAGACTGAAAGTTAGAATGTGGTATACATATAATGCGTGTCATCTCATCGGCTCAAAATGTTGGGCACGAAGCTTCAGCGGTCAAGACCTTCTGCAGCTGCATCCGCCAAGCAGCGTCGCGCTGGTTCTTGCCCATATACGCTTGCAATACCGACTTCACACATGCCAAAAGTGCCTCGCATTCGGACCTGTTGGTCGATCCTCCAGGTCCATGCGTATAACACATACCTACACTCGAACCTTCAAAGTATCCACTCCATGTCCTGCTGGACTTGTGGTATGAGATGTGGACCCCCTTTGGGGGTAAGGCAACCAACCCTTGAGCGTGCAAGCGCCTGTAAGACTCGCGGTGGTGGAAGGATTTGACCCTCACATGCTCATTCTTGATGAATGTCTGGAGATCCTCCTCCTCGCTTGAGTAAGCTAAGACCTCCTCCATATCCAAACCAGGAATTGCCTCTCGCTGGTCTTCAAGATACAGAGCTTCGTCCTCATCAGCTTTCCCATCGATTTCATCCGGATGCATACATTCATCACCGCTTTCTTCTTCATGAAGACGCTGTTCCTCAAAAGCCTCCTCGAGGCCCTCGCCGACCGCTTCATTCACAAACTCCGGCAAGTCCGCACCCACATCCGGCTCCCCCTTCAAAATCATGAGCCTCCTGGGTTCTCCACAGCCTGCCCTGAGTCGTAGCTCATGAGGATCCATGCTCAAGTTCAGGGTCAGCGTGAACATCTCCTGCTTGAGACGACTTAGATTGGCATTTTTGCGAGGTGGATTGGCCAGACCCATCAACCTTTTGCTGAAGAGCATGCTAACCTCTGATGCATGCTGACACCACTCATCATAGTCCTTCTGAGCCCGTGCTGTCAATTGTTTTCCATCCATTTGGCGCTGGTCGATCTTGTCCATCCAGCGCTGATGCTCTTCCACCCATCTTGCTACTGCCCTCTCCACGGGTGTAGCAATCCATTGGGGCAAGGGCTGTCGACCTGATACATCGTCAGCAGCATCCAGGGGTTGGATAGCCCAAATCAAACACTGTTCTCCCGGCATTGGACATGTCCTCAAATCCTCCAGCTGGGCAAGTTCTGCTTTATCAGAGGTCATGTCTGGTGCCACGACAAGGGAAAGCAGCTCTTGCATAGAGTCCCTAGAGCTCTTGAGGTGCTGCCGCACGAGTTCCACATTCCCTGCGCAGAGAGGGCTGCAAGAATCATGAAGATAACTGCATAGATGCATATATGTGTTATATATACCTATATATATACATAAATACCCGCGGAAAAAACATAGTTACTTATATACATACATGAAACAAATTCAATTTATAGAGATAGAATGCGTGCACCATGAAGAAAGAAGGTACAGCCACATCCAAACATCACAGGGGACCACTGAAACGTTCTTCAAAAGTTCACCGACATAGCGGGCGGGTGTATAGAAAAAAACCTCATAGTGTTTGTCCTGAAGAAAAAACAATGTAAATGCAGTTCAACGCCTCCAAATCGATACTTTGCCACGTGTTCTTCCGTGATCATACCCCGGCTTAACCACGCTGTCCACACGAGCTTGCCATTCCTAGGGAAGGAACAACAAGCTGAGCCTGCAACCGTCAACATATTTTTTTGACAGTTAGAATGGCTTACCTTGGTTACCTTGGCCTTCCAGCTGAAAGCAGGACCCTTCCATGGCTGGAAGCAATGCATGTTTTTGAACAAGCCAAGGGTCTCAAATTTGTCCAGAGATTCCAGAGCGTAAGCATCAGCTCTTAATGCGGTCAGAATGGACGACCTTGCTTGGAGGTCCACGCCACGTCCCTATGATATTGGATCTTTCCCCGAATTGTGTTTATATATATATATATGCAACACATATTGTCATACTGCATTCAAAGTGTCGTTTTGATGGGGAGAAAAGCGGTAGGAATGTTGAACAGGAGGTGAACCAGCCTATGCCCATCAGCGCCCAAACAGAAAAAATGACTTACAATACCACCAACCGGCTTTGTTGAAAGACTGCCCTGCACTGAAAGGTTCAATTCATCCAGTCGCTTTCGTGAGAGGATGCTGTTGCTCCAGCCAACAGCCGCGGCACAATAGCTCCGGTTGAGAAGGTGGAGATACTGGTGCCAGCCATCGTTCGGCTGGCCGGCCGCGCCAAATCCTCCTGGAATTTGCATCTGCTCAGAGTCGCCGCACAAGATGTCCTTGGAGTCGCACGAGAAAACTGCGCCCAATTTCACCCCGTGTCCTTTAAATGTGTCCTTAAAAGTCTTTATATAAACATCAACAACTTAAAGCAAAGAATGAAAGAGTACCCAACTATAGACCAGATATAGACTACCTGACTGAAAGATAGAATGCTGTACTGATTTTTATCGGCCTAGAATGCCTACAAGGTACCACCAAATACATCTTGAATGGGAGATACTTCAAGCTGCGCCACCATCTCGCTCCAACAACTGTGGAAAATGACAAAATACTGCTCTAAACGCACCAGGTTTCCTTTATATACAGTATATGTTCAATGTTCCTTAAAAAGCCTGAAGTTCACGAAAAGAAATGAAGTGAAGAAAAAACAAACATATTGCCTAGTTACATATATATATATATATATAGCAGAGGTGTGTATATATATATATCACCCGCTTGCCGGATTTGCGCCCGCTTGCCGTGCTGCCATACGCATTCTAACTTACAGTCCGTGGGTATATATATATATACATACAGCAAATGCCGCGAGTGAGAGAACATAAGCACCGATGGTTTGCTGATCCGATGGTTTGCTGATCCGATGGTTTGCTGA